TGTGTGCCTAGAGCCCATGCTCTGCAACAAGAGAAGCCACCTCAATGAGAAGCCCGCTCGCTGCAACGAAGAGTAGCCCCCGCTCACCACAACTAGAGAAAGCCCACACACAGCAACGAAGACCCAGTGCAGCCAAAAATAAATAAATAAATTTATATATATAAAGAAAACCATTTGCATTTAAAAAAATGCAGTCCCTAGGCATCTATCACTTCTATCTAGTGGATGAGAAAGACAAATAACAGTCAGCTTACAACAGATTGTGGCTAGGGAAAGAACAGGGTACTGTGGGAGCACAGAGATGAGGCCCCTATTCTTGGACCAGATAATAAACTTCTCTGGGCTTCAGTTTCAGGGTCCTCATCTCTAAAATGGTTACAATAATAATATTCATCTCCTAATCTTGTCCTCTCTCCAGGATGAGATACAAAGGAACCTAAGAAGACCAGCTATACTCCAGGCGAAACCATTAACTCTGTGCCCTGTGTCACACATCAGTGTGGAACAGAAGCATTCCAGGACCCCTGGGAATCTAGTCTACCCTGGGACCATGGGTAAGGAAATGGGAGTGGGGGCAGGATTGGTGCCATTTACATCTTTTCCTCTATGTCTTTACATATATCGAAGGGGCGTCTTTTATTTTACTTAATTTATTATGTATTCTTAATACTATAAGTAACTAAAGTTAGTCCTTGCAGATTATGCAACAGGTGGTATCAGTAGGAGCATATCGCCCTCAGGTGGACATTGTAAGTAATGTCACATTACTGGATGATTTTGTTGCAACACTTGAGAAATTCAAAGGGAATGGGTGAAGCTTTCTTTCTCAGAGTCTCTGGGAAAGAACCCCAGTGGGTGGCATGCTTTCCTCTACAATAACTGTTCCAGGAATTACAACCAGGAAAAACAGTGTCAAGCAGAAAAAGAAGACCTCTCTTTCTGTGTGTCTCTTCTCATGAAATAGGAAATCTTTAATAAAATAATTGCTCCCAGATTCTATTTTCAGTTTTCCTTTTCTGAATAAGATCTTGCACTATTTAGTATCTTAAGAAAAGAACCTCTATCAATAAATTTCCAGTCCTTAGCCATGTCTATTCATCCACCTTTGCCTGTGACTTGTGAATAAGAAATTGACGTGGATGCATTATTTCTATCTGCTTTTTATCCTTACCCTATAAACTCAGAC